ATCTGTGCCACAGTCAGTCAGTCACAATGTAGAACTTCGTACGTACGTACATCAGTTCGAGTTGCCACACCACATTAGCACAGAGATGCAGTTGTCAATTCAAATCCCGTAGTGCTAAAGTTAGTAAAAGTACAAGCAGTAATCGGAAACATTAGGGTTTGAAGATGTTATTCAAGGAGTATAATACAGTGAGATAAATTTGGAAAGAGAAAAGTGAAAGTAGCATGAAGAATTCAGAAGATTAGAATTTGGGAGAACATAAAGAGTGGATGCACCTGTGCCATTGCAAACGATGTTGAGCCATGTCATTCAGGATCTCTAGCCATCAGTTGCTAACATCTCGCGGTTCCCAACCAGGTAGTCTACACCCACCAATATGGGACTGTTCCACTGTGACTCATTATAACACATGTCACCACTCAACGTTTAACTTTATAATCTAATTACTGTAAAGGATTGAATTTTATAAAAAGAGAGTTACATAAATAAGTGATAATAACCTAACTCAGTTTTATTATTTTTTTATTCTTTAACTATCTGATTTCTTCATTCCAGCTATTTATACAATAAAGATAATCGGGATAGTGAATTTACTCAACAATTTGTACGTTTATGTAAATTATTACCTCAAATGACAAATGTCAAACCAACATCATCATCATCATCACCATCATCATCATCATCATCATCGTCATCTATGCAAACAATCGGTAATAAAACTGATATTCTAAATTTACTACGATTTTATAAACAAACTAATAAACAATGGTTACAACCAAAGAAATCCATCGAATTGAATACAAATTTACATGTTGGTCTACATGATTCATTAGTTCATTTAATTCATAATAATGATGATAATAATGATTATGCCGACATAACTAGTGCAACAACATTTAATGAAGCTATTTTCAAAGCATCTATTGAATGTTAAAATGCTGATACACTACCTAAGCATCGTCAACTTTATTGGATTGAATTATTTGAAAGAGTATGAGGAAGGCAGTAAAGGAAAATCGTTTTAATGGAGAAAATAAAGTTTAACTAAAATCATACATCTAAAGATACTACTTATTTACTTATTATCAAATGAACATACTATGATATTTACATACATGTAAATAACATTTAATATTGTATTCTATTTATCATAGTTCTTGTTTCTATAAAAAGATTATGAAAAGATTCATTCTCTTATTTGATGATGTTTCAATCATTTCACTAGCTAAGCGTACAATTACAATTGTGTTAAAACAATGAAGGCACAAGTAATTTATTACACTGAACTAAGTATTTTTCACTGGTAATAAACAAATCACTTGGTGATGGAAAAGATCTCCAGTATTAATGGATGTTTCACATATATAAATGTGATACGATGAAATTATCTTATGAATAAAAGAAAACTGGTTTGTAGAATTCTAAATGTAGCAGAATATTTTAGGGACTATCTGTGCTTTGTGTAGTAACCAAGGTCATAATATATATCTAGTTTTCAAGTAATGATCGATCAAGTTGAAATCTAGCCATTTGTCTTTACTGACTTATGCTGTGTGTACTGTGTTTCTGCGTATCGATTGCTTAGAGTTATCCGGTAAGTGTTGATTTGTAGGGCTGGCTTTTTTCTCATTGTTTGGATTGGTCAGCAAGACGTATTTATAATTTTAAGGGAACTGATGTCGACAAGAAGCTTAAAAATAATGATAATATGTGAAAGGAATCAGAAGCGCTTTTGATCAAAGTTGAGAAGGAATGATAAAAAGTAAGTCTCGCGATCCTTCATATACTGACCATATGAATATTTTACAAACGAAAACTGGCGAGTGTTTAGGGGCCCGTGCGTCTCGACTCCCATTTAGATCGTATGGATGTTTGCTATCGCCTATTCTCGTATATCATCGTCGACTTAAATCGCGTTATCCAATAACGGAATTAAATAAGTCGAATAACGAGAATTGATTTGTGAATACATATATTTTGTATATGGAGTGAATGAAACAGAGCCAAGCAAAATGACGCACAGGGAGAATGGCTGGGAAGCCAACTCCATCTTGGTCAAGCGTTACTCAATATTTATAGTCAGACAAAATAAAGCTACAGACATGTGATTAATGGAATAAGAAGGGCACACACATATACGCTCATATAAAAACAGTCTAGATTGATAAGCGAATAAATAACGAGGTCAATGTATGGCTCAAGTAAAATGAATAGAATGGGATGTCCGGAAGCTAGAATAAGGTATATGAGCTTGGCATAATAACTGACACTACAAGTGAATAGCGACAGGTTCATAAAGTGGGAAAGTAGTGTTATAGTTAGGCTTGTAGAGGCAAATTTCCCCTAAATCTGACAGCAATTGCTAGTATCCCGTTAACTGAATATTTAGTGAAGGTAAATCTCCTAGTAGAATTATGGATTTACTCGAGATTATTCAAAAGCCTGAACATCAGTTATCGAGATAGTTTACTGTTAAAGATTGGTACACGGCGAGACTCTAATGTATGGAGGACCTCTGGACGAATCTGAAGTGACTTTGGGAAATATTATCCAATCAGCAAACAGTTAGTATAGAGTAAAAATATGTTATACAAAACCAAGGAAATAAAGTGGATACATTTCAAAATTATCAAGGTTAGAAAGTGGTTCTAAAATCGTGATGCATGCAGTAGAGGAAATCATCCATACAGCTACAGAACAGTCGGCCTCTGGAGCCATGATAAAATCTCAAAACCTCTTTCAGCCTCAACCACATATTGTTTATGTGCGCTTCGGTTGTTGAGTACACAAAATGCTACTTGTGGATAACGACACGATGCACATAACCAAGCCTATGTAGGAGTCTGTACGCTCTCCAAACATCCGGATATATTGTAGTACCTGGCTGCAGACAGTGTTACTGGTGCTTTTATTATCCAGTTCGCAATATTTGTCGTAATTCGCCGTAGTGAGGAATTATATATGGGGTTTTCATCACAAACTGACATCAGCTATAATGCCAGAAATTCATTTAGCCAAATGGAAGAAAGGCTTTTGCGTTAAAATCCTAGATCTATTATCTTATACCTGATTGATTCGTCCACAAATTATAGTCCCGCCGTTTTATTTGTTATAGCCGCTCAATTATCATGTTTTGTACAAAATTCCCTGTGAACCGACCGTACGTTAGCACAAAGCACTAAAGTTTGCGCCGTAACCTTGAAATCTCTAACACGCATCTGATTGGCTCGTCTGTGAATTAGAGTCTCGCCACATACATATTTACTCAAATAAACTTAGTTTCCTACCTTCCGTCCTTCCTCCTAAGTAGTTGAGATCATATACAAAAGTGTGTCAGCATCAAACGGTGTGACAGTAGGCTTCACAACATGCACTAACTGCTTAAAAAGATATATGATACGAATAGGCTAAACAAACGGGTTTTCTAAGCTGTCCAGTCGCTGATCATTTTGGATGTAATGGTATCATTTCAAGAGAAACTGTGAGAAAATGACTTCAAATGTTGTTATACTTTGCTGAAACTAAATTTATTCATTCGATAAGATACTGTACGGTTGTCGATATTACTTTGATCCGGTTACCTCAGTTTTTACTACGCATGCTTTCAGTTATATTAACTTTTTCCCCGTGTTTCATTATTATCTGACCTCCATTTATCCAAACAGTCTATTTTCATTGTAGTTCATATTCCTCAATATAAACCTGTTCCCATGACATTCTGTTTTTTTCTTTAAAATTCATATAACTAATCTGTCAATACTGAACCATATAAACTATTTCATGTTCTCTGATATAAACTATATACAAGTAACCGCTAAGCTACTAGTATTTGACCACAGATGCCTTAGAAATATTGCTCACATCTGCTGGGATCACCGGGTAAGTATCTTTCTTTCTACGAACAAACTCTTTCTTCCCGTACTATGTCATTATACGCACTCGTTCTCCTATATATTACCACTATTAACACTACCTCTAATTTCTGGCAAATCATTCGTTCAAATATCAACGGATATTTGTATAAATTGTCTAGATCCTTAATACAACTGGATACATCTATCTCCATTCAATAGCCAATTGATCTTCCTATTTCTTTTTATCTGACATATTTAAATCAACAAAACGAATAATTTCTGTTCTATGATTTATTTATAATTCGCAACCCGTAAATAATATCTACAAAATGTTCAAGTTTTACAAGTAGAGACCCGTTCTTAAACGGAGCCACAAGACACGTGAGAAACAATTAAAAATTGATAATTATTATTTATTATTATTATATTAAAGAGAAAAGATCTGTACAAACGAAATCAAATCATTGTGTATTTCTGAAGAAAGACATGAGGATGATGATGAAGAGGATTTAGATGGTGATGATGATGATTTAAAAGATGTTAATGATGATTTAGATGATGATGTTGATTAAGAAGATGATGATGATGATTTAGAAGACGATAATGATGATATAGATGATGATGATGATTTAGATGATGATGGTAATGGATTAGATGATGATTTAGAAGATGATATAAATGATGATGATTTAGGTGGTGATGATGATGATGATGGTGATTATGATTTAGATGGTGATGATTATGATGATTTAGGTGGTGATGATGATTTAGATGATGTTGGTTTAGATGGTGATGATGATGATTTAGATGTTGATGATGATGGTTTAGATGTTGATGATGATGGTGATAATGAGTTAGATGTTTGAGATGATGATGATCCATGCTACCACACTTAAGTGAGGAAATTAATTTATAAGATGAGTGAGAGAATGAAATAGAAATAATATCAACTAAGACATACAGCTGATCATGGAAAAATATACTTACCGTGAAACAAATTTATCCATTCGTCTACGGATGATAACAAGTGTAGCTACACATTTGTAGATGAGGATTAGACATGAAAAGGTCAACTATACAAGTGAATTGATGCGTTTACGTTTACACAGGATGATGAAATACATTGAAGCCGAAGATAACTATTTCTCAGTGAGCTATGGAAGATATGCATCTCAACTCTAAAGCTTTTCGGTAACTGATCTTTAGAAACAAGTCACGGTCTAAATTAAAACCTTTCCCATTACTTACTCGATAGCCACCAGTCCCCGAAACGTTGAAACCATGAGCTTCGTTGACATATGATTCATTTGACTGTTTGTTAGCCTTGGCAGCTTGGATTTCTCTTCGCTATTAAAAAGATGTATAGGAAAGAATGTGATGTATGGCGAAAAATCACTTCATAATATTAGTATATGTGTAGTTCATCTACCACGTAAAAGTGAGAAGATAATGTCAAGTTGAAATTATAATTGTTCGAGGTTCAGAATTAAAAACTACGTCTCGGAAAGCAGATGTATCATGCATGTGTGAGCAGTGGAAGCTTGAAAATAGTTCTCAAGAAATCTAAACACGATGATGTATCAATGTGATGTATGGCGAAAAATCACTTCATAATATTAGTATATGTGTAGATGTATCAATTCCACGAAACCCTCATTGGCGTGTATACGTTATACAAATCTTATATCTCATATGAAATAAACCGAAAATACCCGTCACGTTCAATTAGCAGAATTTATGCTTTCCGCCCACGTTAACTTTGAAATTTAATACAATGTCATATATTAGAGTGAGAAAAGTCTGTGTCTAAACCACTTTTATTTTAAGAAAGAAAACAAAACACAATATGGCTTTATTAGTACTATAAATAGAAAGCACTGTTCAGAGAAACGTGAGTTTCCGCTATGTACGACATGAGACTACTAAAAACAACGAATTACAAAGCTAGTTTAATTCCATTTAAATGATAGTAAGGCTTAGTGACACAACTGCAATTTATTCCGACGTTTTGAACAGCCGTGTCGAAAGATGAGAGTTAAAGACCTAATTTCTGGCACCAGGTTTTTGAAACTACCACATAGAACGTTAAGTGCACTGTATAACTGTGGATCATATTGTAGAACGTCCTTCGTAATTGGGAAATGTGTAAAGTTGTTAGTGTTTGACCATAGACCGACGTATCTCACGTAAAGAAAAATAACTGAGTATATAACGATCTTAAAAGCAAATTATTATATTGAGCTGATAAACCGATAAACAGGGCCGCAAATACCTAACAATTGGAAAATGACAGATAGAACAAACCGTCCTCTCCAAAACCGGTAACTTTATCCATTATCTGATTTCAGACACCACCTTATTACAACGTAATGTTGACTGACACAAATGATCACGAAAAAACCACAGGATAAGTATTTTAGCGGATTTATGATGACACTATACATTTTTTGATATTCCTTCGATGACTTGGTTACAAAGACATTAGCGATCTATACCCGAACAATGAACACAAATATCTAGTATCGAAAGTGCCTGGACCCCCACATACCACAGAAAAACTGCTACTTAAATTTGAACAGATGATCTCACGAGTTTTTCTTAGACCGAACACGTACTCCAATTAAATATTTGCGTAGAGAAATCGAAATGTCAAAACCAACCAACAAAATAAAAGTATTCTGCAATAGTATGGTCATATGTCAGTGGACACACCTTTTTCTTAGCAGCCGCTATTTTCTCTGCTCTACTCAGTTCCGACATCTTACTTCTGCCAGTGTGACGTGTTAAATGAGCTTGGCTACCTTCCCTGACCTTGGCTGCTAGGCTACTTTCAAGATGTTTTTACAGCATATAAACACCATAAAAGAGCTACACTCAAACTGAGGTTGTTCAACAGATTATGAGCTTATACATCTTACAAAATTACACAAAAAATAACAAGAAGACATCTTCTTTGTAACGATTAACAGATAGAGATGAGAACATTTTATTTATTATTTGTATATAGATGACATTAAATGACTCTTAAAAGAGAGTGTCTTTGTACACATTCAAGGTTGCATTTTAGTTTCAACTCGAGTATACCGAAGTTCGCAAACTTGAACTGTGTTTTTGTAAGCTTTGTTTGGTTGAAGTCATCATGTACTTACTCAACTGCTACATCCTAGTGGTCGATCTGAACAAGTGGTGATCAGTGAATGCAGAACTTGTGCATTCCTAAATACGCTCTGCTTGATTACAAAAGGGTACATAAGAGTACTCCACAAAATGGGAAAGAATATACGGTTAAGGAGGAAAAAAAATTGTGTAGAGTGTGAGGATCAAGTACAGTTGTGTCAAATACTCTTTTGCGGTTTGATTTAGGTATTCATGATATATTGAAGCAATATTTCATCAATTCATCCAAGCAACGAATTGGTCTGCACCTTAGAAGTGTGTAAGTTCTATTACTCATTAGTATTATGAATGACTAATCGGTGTAAGGAAATATTGAAGTCATTTCCTCGTGACCTGATGTGGTTTAATGGCTACCCACCTTCAATACGATGTTTTTTGCCCGTAATTCGCTGAGATATGAGAGAAAAATGACAAGAGGACAGATTGATGTGTCAAAGTGCCATATTGGAACAGTACAAGTTCTTTGTTTATATTAATAATAATGCTATAGAAAGAAATCTACAAGTTTGGTAAATTTCCATTTTACATTATATAAGTTACATTATATAAGTTACATTATATAAGTTATTGACACAACATGTCTTTTTTATAACGCTAGTGTTAAGTTCCAGGATTTTGTATGGACCACTAATAATAATTGGTTTAACGTTAGCATAGCCGTGATAATATGCAGTGCGGCGTATCCTATTGGAGCTGGCTATAGGGAATCTGGTAAATAGATCTATGCATGTAAACAGATAATTAAAACCGTTTGAACGAGGTAAAGGGCCTACCAAGTCGATATTCACATGGGCAAAACGTGCATCTGGTTGCGAGAAAACGCCTATGGGTGAATTTGTGTGACGATTAACATTTGATTGTTGGCATGCTGAACACTCTCTAACCCACTTGTGTACATCCTTCTGTATATTCGGCCATATATATCTGGCATTGATTAGTTTTGTTGAAGATTTTGCGCCAGGATGAGACGAATGAAAGTTATTATACATCAACTTTCGCATACTTTTGGGAACGAAAGGTCGCGGCATTGCCTCGGTCGTGTCACGGTAGATTAGAATACCATCGACAGGTGATGGGAACTGTTTTAAATTAAGACTTGAATTGTTTGTTTTAAGCAGGTTTTGTAATTCTAGATCCTGCTCTTGTTCGTTTCGCAACGTCTCGAAGCTTACTGTGGACTGCTGTAGCATCTGCCGCCTGATTGTCCTGACCTTTGACATATCGGATATCGCTTGTGAACTGTGATATATAGTCAAGGTGTCGGACTTCTCGAGGTGAGTATTTATCAGCTCTCGCTCTTAGTGCATTCGTTAGTGGTTTGTTATCCGTAAAGACTATAAATCCCCTGCCTTCTAACATGTGTCGGAAGTGTTTAATGGTTAGGTAGATTGCAAGAAGTTCTCGCCCGAAGGTAGAATATATTGTCTCTGCTGGAGCGAGTCTTTTTGAGAAGAAGGCAATTGGTTTCCAGGCGTTTTTAACCAGTTGGTTAAGGGTACCACCTACTGCTTTATCTGAAGCATCCACCATCAACGTAAGTGAGGAAAGAGAATTCGGATACATCAACGTAGTTGCTTGAGCTAGTTTATCTTTAAGCTGTTTAATAGCTTCGACGGCTTTAGAGGACAGTTTGAATTCTTTTGGTTTTCCTTTGAGTGAATCTGTCAAAGGTTGCATTAATTGTGCACAACCTGGTATGAATCTGCGATAAAAGTTAATTAGACCTAGAAAACTCCTCAGTTGTGTTAGAGAATTAGGTATGAGCTATTGTTTGATGGTGTCTACTTCTTTGTTGATCGGTTTAATCCCTTCTGGGCTTATTGTGTGACCGAGAAATTCTAAAGTTTGAACACCGAAAACACACTTACTTTGATGTATGTTCATTCCATGTTCATTCAGTCTTTTCAACACTGCTCGTACATGCTGTTCGTGTGATTGTAAATCGGGACTGGCAATTAACGAATCGTCTATATACTACTGAGCAAATGGCATATCTCGAAGTAGGTTATCTATGAATCTTTGAAATGTCTAGGGCGCATTTCTCAGGCCAAATGACATGCGTAAAAACTCGAATAAGCCAAAAGGTGTAGTAATAGCTGTCTTGGGGATATCTTCATCGGCCACCGGGATATTGTGGTATGCCCTGACTAAGTCAATTTTAGTGAATATGTTCATATCTTGTAAACCGTTTGTAAAATGTTGGATATGCGGTATTGGGTACCTATCTGGTACACCTTGACGGTTGAGGGCTCTGTAATCCCCGCACGGTCGCCAGTCGCTTTCATTCTTCTTTGGGACCATATGCAAAGGGGATGCCCATTGACTATCAGAGGGACGGATAATACCGAGTTGTAGCATATAATCAAACTCGGCTCTGGCGATTTTGAGCTTATCTGGTGCTAGTCTCCTGGGTTTTGCAAACACCGGTGCACCTTTGGTTTTGATATTATGACTTACTTTTAGTTTGTCTTTTGAAGGCTGTGGGTTTGGTTTAGTTATGTTTGGAAATTCCGCGAGTATATCTTGGAATTTCGCTGTTGTTACTGGAGGAGTTTGAATCAAGTTAAGAGAGCTGATGTGACTTTCTTTGCCTTTTGTGCAATTCGAAGTTTCTGTCAGTGTTAAGCGCCGTTTTTTAGTGTCAACTAGAAATTCGTATCTCTCTAGAAAGTCCATCCCCAGTATTGCCAGATCTAAGTCGGCTACTGTGAAAACCCAAGGAAATTGCCTCCTGAACCCCAAATCTAGGGTTAAAGTTTTCTGCCCAAATGTCGCGATTTCAGATTTATTTGCAGCTTGGAGTGTAATTGGGGATGTTTCTGGACTCAGATTAGCTTTGTTTTGAGGGATGATACTTAGAGCAGCGCCAGTATCCACCAAGAAATTCAAGCCAGAGTTTCTGTCTCTTACATAAAACAGGCGACTGTTTAGGCGCACCTCCTCAGTTGTCGCGACCTGGCGGGGGGGTTACTCGTTTCCCGCTATCTTGAAATTTTGTTTAGGCCAGGCGCATGGTTGCATGC